ATCTACCTTTACATTTCCGACCCTCACAATCAGTCCTGATAACAATTATTCACTAATGTATCACAAGAGACCCGTCTGCATTTCATTGCATCAGCTCCGCCTAGTCAGATTGAATACTACTCACTGGAGATTCTACCTTCCTCCAGGCCCTCTGGATCTAGGTTCCCTCTTGAAAGCTTGTAAGCTAGAGTCGGTTTTGACTCATATGATCCTGTATAGGGTTTTCGAGGAGTGACTGCAGTTAGCAGTGCAGTGTTTATCCCATAGTACCACACCAGGACTCCTCACACTCCTTAGAGCCTTTGAAAAATAACAAACAGTTAAATCCTCAATTAACTGTCATGGTGAAGTTTACTCAAATTTAAGATCCAAGAGCTTTGCTTGGTTCCTTTAATAAGGAGGTTAGGAGTTAAGTAATAAGCCCTCAGCCTGCCAGAGGCAAAACTCACACCTGTGAGAGCAATGAAGACACACTGAAGTCATATGTGACTGAGGTCCCAGTTCTGCCACTTACAAGCTGTGTGGTCTTAGAGACAACCAAACATCTTAAATCTTGCTTTCCCTACCTCTAAAAGGAGGTAGGGAGTCCCTGGATGGTGGCAGTGGTTGAAGTGGTCAACATAGGCGGAAAGGTTGGTGGTTCAAGACCACCCAGAGGTGCCTCAGAAGACAGGCATGGTGATGTGTTTCTGAAAGGTCACAGCCTTGAAAACCCTATGAAACGTGTGGTAGATATATCTACAACAAAAGAGGAGCTGATAAGAGGCTGCTTATGTACAAGCATAAACCTTGCAGATTTCTTAATTTGGGTATTTAGGGTCATGGTTTCAAGGGTCATCCCAATTATTTGGCTGGGCTACCTTCTAATTCATCGTGTCACTGTGTAGAATCTGGGGTCTTAAAAGCTTCTTCTTATTAGGTGTCATCGAGTTGGTATCGATTTGTAACAACCTTATGCACAACAAAACTAAACACTGCTGTCATGAGCCAACCTCACAATCGTTGCTGCCATCAGCAATTAATCTCTATTTGCCTGGAACAGCAGAGGAAGGAGAGTCAGGACTAGGAAGAGGCTATGGAACGTGTGGATAATGCCTTCATGAATTGCCATGAAGCTAGAACTAGATGGTTCCCAGCTACTATTACTGAACATTTTAGTCAAAGAGTCTATAAAAAATCCTGATCAAAAGGGGGGTAAGAACAGAGTCTCAAATTTTCAGGGATTCAACTTTCTATAGCCATAAGGGCTAAAACTATTACCCTAACATAATCTTTAAAATTTTAACCAAAAGTAGCCCCTGAAGTCTTCTTACAACCAAACAACAGTTTGGCTAAACTAGTAAAAAAGGGGTTTACCTTGAGCACTGTGTTCCTTTGACAACTACGTATGTGAGATCAAGTTGACAATAACTCAGAAAAGTAGGGTGACAATGGTTGCTCAACTCAAAAACTATTCTATGTCACTCAATTGTACACGTAGAAACTAGTGAATTGGGTTATGACGTTTTTTTAAAATCCTATGGAGCAGTTATACTTCCATATACATGAACTTTAACAGTTCAGTGGCAACAAACAAAAACAGAGTAAGAAAAATGGTGATGTCATAAAGTTTTTGTAAGGGTTAAAAGATTAAATGGAAAATACAGCTTAAAGTGCTTTTATACCTATTAGGGGTTATACAATTGCTGGCTTAATTGATTTCCCCTTTAGTTTTCTAGCCTACAGAAAGCCCATGTTAACTAAGTAAATGTTAAATTTCCTCATCAACAGGAATAGAAATTAGCCACAGAAGTCACTGATTTCTCTTTCAACTTGTATTTCAATCCCTGGCCTAAAGTGCCACACCTTCAGAAACTAAACTAAAACTTTACTTTCTTTCACAGAATACTTTAAAATCACCAAATACTTCAATCCTTCAAATATAATCCAGGGACTTTATATAAAGGAGTAAAGCCTTACATCTAATTAAAAGGAGGCAGTAGGGAGCGGAAGTAGACCAAAAAAAAAAAGTTTTTTTTTTCTTTTTCTATTTATTTATAAAGAACACAACTCCTCCTCTGGACGCAGACACAAATAACACATCCTTTGAGAAGCCAACAAAGAATAAGAATAAAACAACAAGAGAACAGGGGAGAACAGATTTAACAACAGTCTGTGCGCCCCAAACTCAGGGATCACCAAGAACATTGGTCCAGATCTGACAGCTGACCTCAAAGACAGGAAAGTCTCTGTGTCCCCACCCCACCCACAGGGCAGAGAGACTCCTCGCTCAGTCATCGGCATCATCAAACTGTCCTGTTTCAAAGACCATCTTGGAATAATGGGGTATCAGTGGAGGTGGATGGTGCCAGCTGGGGTCATAAACCATGTCTCCTTGTGGGACACAGCACACCCAAGGTTTAACCTCTTGAGAAATGCTCCCCTGGATGTCGTCAGCATCTGCAGGCAGTTATAAAGGACAGATTAAAGGGAGGAGGGAGGATGGAAGTAGACAGTGAAAACAGTATGTCTAAGGGGACACACAGGCACACTTACTTTGTTTAAAAACATGCATGTATGCATGCTCATACACACATGTATACACACTGTGCTCTTTCCTGAAGAACTGCAAATGTGTTCATTCTAAAGCAATCAATAGTTATGCTTCTCAGATAAGAGTCCTTAACAGTGCAGAGAAAGTAAACGGCACTACGGCTGTTCAATTCGCCCACAGATATTTGGAAAGAGAAACTGTTTTTATGTTAAAACAAACTCATGTACTGTATTTTTGTCAATTATGAATGAAGCTATCAGAGAAATTTCAGACCTGCAACATACCTCTAGGTAAACTAATAGATTAAAGACCCTCCTCCAAACTGTCTGCTTTTAAAGGTAGTAGCAAAGTTTGAGAAGCACTGGTTTAGGGCCCCAGAAATCCCACACCTACCATAAGGATTCCCTTGATCTGTTTTCAACTCCAAGTCCCAGTCCTCATTAAAAACATCCACCGTCTGTTCCTGGGGCAGGCAGCTGGAGACCCCTTCTGGCAGCTCCCAAGTATTCGGTTCCCCATCAGAATCCTCATCATCCAAAGCAAAGCCTTCCTCTTCAGAGTGGGCACTCTCACCACGGCTAGGACTATCATTAGGGATACTCTGTGCTCCTCTGGCTAAGAAATCAATAAAAGGAAGGTCTTAAGACAATTGACAAAGCAGAGTGAGCCACTGGATGCATGGGGAAAGCACAGCAATTGCTGGGGTGGAGCTGCTGACACCATCTAGTCAATTCCAACTCATGGCGACCCCGCGTGTGCAGAACAGGGTTTCAAGGTTGTGACCAATCACCAGGCCTGTCTTCTAAAAGGCCTCTGGGTAGGTTTGAACACACAACTGTTCACCTAATAGTCGAGCAGTTAATCACTTATAATACCCAGGTGCTCTGGTAGGGTGGGGAGAGAAGCATAAAAATATCACTCATATCTAGTTTTATAATTGCAGTGCAGTGAATTATGAGGTCATATGGCGGCTCTTCTAACCAGAGTCTTTGTAACTTGCATGTGCTGTAGGATCAGCACTGGACTGCAAACCACAAGGTCAGCAGTTCAAACCTTGGAAACCCTAAATAAGGATGCTATGAGTCAGAACCAACTCGACAGCACGTAACAAGAATGCAGTCTGGGGCAAAGGAGCCCTGGTAGTGTGCTGAGTTATGATGAGTTGGGCTGCTAACCGCATGGTCAGCAGTTTGAATCTACCAGTCACGTCTAAGGAAAAAGATGAGGCTTTCTGCTATCATAGATACGTATTACAGCTTTGGAAACCCTAGATAGGCCACTATGAGTCGGAACCAACTTGGCAGCATACAACCACCAAGTCTGGGTAAGAGAAGGTTGGAGAAGATGCTGACAGGACTATATATAACTATATATAGTAGTTAACAGAGTTCATTGTGATTTTTAAAACATGGGCATAAAATGAGCTATTTCAGAAGCAGGAGGGAGGCTCGCACTACCATCAAAGAACAGTCAAGAGTGGAGTGTGTCCTTTGGACCCCAAGATCCATGCACACTGAACTTCCTCAACCCAGAGTCAGAATGTTATGACACGAGAGGAATGGCAGATGCAGCAGCAGAACCAACAATCAGAGCACAAGGCAGAGCAATGGGATCTCCAGGCCACTGGGAATGCAAAGCTGAGTGACTCGGAGCAGGAGGCTTGCTTTTAGAATAGGGTACCTCCAGGCACTTAATTGGAGGAGCCAGAGCCAAGGGCCTTTACGCTGAGGCTTACAGTGCAACAGTGTGCACTGTGGGCATTTCTTAGCAGCCCTAAAAGAATTTTGTAACACTGCTCAGGAAGACAGAGGCTTCCCTGTGGGCATGGCTGAGGAGAGGTTCCTGACTGCAACAATGATCCCCAATTCTGACCCTGAATTGTAACCTGTAACTTCCCCAATACACCCCATAACTGTGAGAATGGTGTCTGAAACTCATGTGGCCACTGCAATTATCAAAGCTGAGTAGCAGACAGCTTTGGGAGAAATGGTCAATGCCATTTTTTGCAGTAATGCATCTGGAAAACTTACTAAGAGGGCAATAAAACAAGTGTATAAAGTTCCTAGCCACCTAGGATCAATAATGTTCTGTTTGCGTTATTTATCAGAAGTAGGGTGCTGATCATTTTAAATATGATGTTTTGCTTTAAACAAGGCTGTTATGTGCCAAGTCTGGTAATTTATGGCAGGGAGCCCGGGAGTTTATATTTTCAGGTAGCATTCATATCACTGAGGCCAAGGGCCTCTGACAAATGATAAGCTCTTACAATACAAACTTGAATTGAATCTTTGCTCTTCTACTCCTCCCTTTGCCTCAAAGAGCATGTCAGAGATGAGCACAGAGACAAAGGGAGAGTGGCAGAAACACAGAAGAGGGCAAGTTATCCGGTCACATTGGGCAGCCACTGTGTCTCTTCCCCGTGACGTAGGGGATGACTGGAAGGGGCATTTTCACAAGCTTTCAAAATGATGGGAAATGTTTGGAGGAGGGTAAGGGAGGAGCTCCAAGCATCTGGATCTGTGGTGATGCCAGTTCAGAGGAATGGAAGGAAGCAGCCTCAGAACAGGTCCAGCTGTCAGTACCATAATAACAGCAACAGCTACCAAGGAAGACAGCACCAGTTAAGGGTTCAAATTCCACTTCTCTTGTCTACTAAATGTGACAGAACCAAAATTTATTTCACTCTTCTATGCCTGTTTCCTCATCTGAAAAATGGAGATAGGATTTTTATAACAGTTGAGAACTCAGGGAAAAAAAGGGGAGGGGAGGGCATGGGAAAAAGGGAAGAAGGAAGGAACCAACACTTCCTGGCACAGAGCAAGTACTCAAACAAAGGTTAGCTGCTGGGATACACTTATCACGTGCTTGGTGCTTTATCCAGATCTTCTGCAATAACAGAGAGAGTGAACCTGGAGGTTAAGGCGCAGACTGCAAAGCCATTTGAACTGCAAGGATGGCAGTTCAAGGTCACAAGCTGCTCCTCGGAAACCCTATACAAGGTCAAACAACAGCCACATGTGGCTGGAGTCCTGGTGTGGTGCTGTGGATTAATGAGCTGGACTGCAAAGCTGGTCTGAACCGCAAGGTCAGGGTCGATAGTTCAAGTTCACCAGCCACTCCTTGGAAATCCTATACAAGGTCACTATGGGTCGGAACAAGCCACATGTGGCTACAGAGTACTTGAAAGTTTACTAGTGCAAGTGAAGAACTGAATCTTTCATCTTATTTAATTTTAAATAACACTGGTTGGTTGTTAACGGCTATTGCATTGGGCAGTATAGTTCTATATCCTCTCATCTAATCATCTGAGCAATCCTCTGAGTCAAGTATTATTGTTGTTGTTAAGTGCCATCGAGTCGGTCCCGACTCACAGTGACCCTGTATAGGGTTTCTGAGGAGCAGCTGGTGTATGTGAACCGCCAAACTTGCGGTTAACAAGCCAGTGCTTACCCTATGGTGCCACACGAAGACTCTGGTAGTATTACTCTCATTTTAAAATGAAGAACGGCTAAGTGACTCATTTCTAAGGCCACTAGCTTGAGCTCAAAACTATCTAACCCACAGCTGAAATGTAAAACAATTTTGCGTGGATCCAAAGACAGTCTTTCCACCACTGTCCCATGTTGTTTCTCAGTGGACATAATGGATTTGGGGTAAGAAAAGTCCAGGGCTTCCCTTAAGGAAGTTCCAGTTGGGCTTCTAAACAAGGGCACTCCTGAAACAATAAGCGGAGATGCAGCAATGGGAAATCTGGCTGGGAGAAGAAGATAACAAAAAGCACAGACTGCCCCTCTAAGATAACATCCACCCCAATTCTCTTAGCATCTACTTGCCTAGTCGATCCAAGGCCTTCTCAGTCTTGCTCTCCTTCTGAATGGAGTGGTCAGACATGGCAAAGCCAATCTGCAAGAAGAATCAACAGTTACCTGGGGATGTGGATATCTGGGATAAGCCCATTATTAATGTATTGTACCTCAGCTCCAAAACCACACTTCTGCATTCTGCTTTTGATTCTGGGGTCAGGACTCTGCAACGTTCTTTTCTGCTTTGCCCCGATAAGACTTGGTGAAGCTGGAAGGAGAACGGCTTACTCCTTCTTAGTCCTGTAAACTGTCACCCCAGCAACATCCCAGGCAGCAGGAGTTCCTCCTATAGCAGCAGCTGAGTTCAGTTTACAGTCTTCCCAAAACTTGCTCAAACAGCCTTATCACAACGCTCTCTCTTCAGAAGTTTGGCTGCCGAGCACTCAGGGCTCCTCTTCCAAGCTTAGTTGGGACAGCTCTGTAAGATCTTACTTTTTTTTTTATCATTCCAGCCTCACACCCTCAGTCCTAGGTTTGGTAGCTGTTTTCAGCAGTTGTTACCTACAAGTTCACTTTGGACCCTCTCAGTTATATAGAATTGTTAACTAGATATAAAGTAGGTAACAACTTTACATCTAGTTAACGATTCTACTGCATTCTCTGTTCATATAGCTGATGTGGTCTCTAGCTCCTGATTGGTCAGGGGAGTGGGGCTTTGGTTCTTCTGTGAGGTTGAGCAGTGAAGGAAACATTTCTGACCTAATTGGATATATCTCCACTCCACCCCACCCCACCCCACCAACCATGGCCAAACACATCTCTGTGTCCATCACTCAAGTTCCTGAAATTGTATGGCCTTCAAGACCTCTTTCTAAGCAGAATAAGAAATGTTCACAGCCTGTATGAGAGACTAATCTCACTATGCTATCTACTGTTCAGAGTGACCAGTGAAATGGCCACATTACCTCAACAATCATGCCTGGATTTCTCTCTCTGGAAACGGCAGTGATGCTGTCTTACAATAAACCCCCAAAGCAGGGGACTTATAATGAAACAACATTTACAGAAACACCTAGCATGCAAAGCAAGAATGTTAAATTCGTTGAATTAAGTTCATTTTTCTTTTCCCCTATCTAATCAACATTCAGCACTAAGCAGGCAGTGTTAGCATTCATGATCTAGTCATGTCTGGGTTTAATGACTCAATTCTGCCTTAGTGGTGACAACCCTTGGCCAGGCTGTTGCCTATGGGATCTCTCACCTAGAGAGACTACTGCAACAGCCTCCTCACCACCGTCCCACCAACCCACCTAGCCATCTTATCCAGTCTTACAGTTGATTACTACTCCGCTCAAACAGCTTCACCAGCCCTTCACATAATCAACCACAGTATTCTACCCCATCCCTCTCAACCTATGGAACACAGTTCTTTCCCCCTATCCTCATCCACGCCCCCGCTCTCCTGGCACCCAAGCTCCATACCATTTGCCCTGCACAATCTCACTTCCACACCTTTATAGGTACCACTTTCACCCTGTAAGGCAAGGGCACATCCCTTCCGGCTATGCCAAACTAAAATTAGCCTCGCCTATTCTCAACTCCTACGTAATTTCTCCTTATCACTGCAGTTTTCATCGAAATGTGGTTAAGTATCCTCTTTGATCTTTAACAAGCATTCCATTCATTCATTCAATTAATACCTACGTGCCAGACACTATTCTAGGAGCTCAATGAATAATTGGTTCCTATCCCCAAGATGCTCAACGCCTAGCAGGGATTATAGTCCGCAAACCGGGCAGGCAGTAACTGTGATAAAGCTCCTTGAAGATCCAGGGGCTGTCTGGTGCGTACATAAAAACAAGTTTCTGGAAACGCTGCGCCAAACCAGGCTTTTAGGTTTCGGTAAGTATAAAAGGCGAGAGTGCATGTGGCATCCACCTGGTGCTCAGGATTAGCTGAGCATCCCCACCAATGGCCGGAAAGGGAGATTGCTCTCAACGCCCTCAACTAGCACCCGCCCAAGCCCCCCAATCAGCCGGTTTCCGCAGTTCTCGATCATCAGCATCCCCTCGCAATCACCAAGCACGCAGAGCCGCCTCCCGGAGCGGACAGCCTTCCCTCTCTACCCGGTGCGCCCACCCACGCCCTCGCAGGTACCGCCCAGCAGCCCAGCAACACGGCCGTTTCCAGCCCTACCGCGCGCCCAAACGGCGCTCGGTGTTCGCTGACGGCCCGAAGCGGGCCAGAGGGCTTCCCCAGCTCCGCGGACCCCCCAACTTCCGGACACGGCCGCAGGTGGTGACCATCCGGCCCTGGCGAAACGCTCACCCCCGAACCTAGGGGAGCCTCCCGCGCACTCGGCAGCAATGGGCCCCGAGGTAGCTCGGCCGCCCCCAGAGCCTGGGCCACTGCGGCCTGAGGGTCCATGCCAGGCAGCCCGGCGGCTCGGCGCCCCAGACGCGGCTCAGCCACGTGACACTCCGGCCTGGCTGCCAGCACAAGGATACGCTATGGAGGGCCAATCAACCCGGGGTGCTCCCGGCCAAGGGGGCGGGACCCGGGGGGGTCACGAGGCAGCGAGGGCGGGGCGAGGGGCGGGGCGCAGTGGAGCCGCGAGAACTGATTTTCGTCGTTCGCATCGGTCTAGATCCTAGGACTGGACGACTAATTACATACGCAATGCTTGTTTACAGACCTCGAATTTTTGTTGTCGAATAATCAAATTACTCGAGTCTACCTAATAGTGCCGCGAGTTCTGCTCTCCAAACTTTCAGTGTAATTGTAGCTCCGTCCACATTTCTTCACAGGTTTTAGAAATCAAAAAGGCTGCTGCAGTTTCCAGATTGGAATTAATTTACCTACAAATGGATGAAACCAATCATCTTAAACAAACTATTGTCTCTAAATTTAATCCATTCAAAACCAGTTTGATCAAACCACAAACTCCTAGTATCTGCTCGACATGTCGTAGTAACAAACGTGTACTGTTGACTCTACTGACCCTACCTTTAAACGTTGAAAGCCTGATGCTCTAAACCGTATTTTCTCCCATTCTGCCTCTCAGGATATGAGATAGTTGTCCACATTAGGCAGAGCCCTAACACCAGCCTCCCTGGTTTACCCCACAATTTACCCCCACTAATAAGGAGTCCTGGAGTCCTGGGCTCGCGCTGTGGGCTAATGCGTCAGACAGCAAACCCGCTGGACCTGCAAGGTCGGTGTGGTTCAGGCTCACCAGCTGCTCCTTAGAAACCCTACACAGGGTCGCTATGGGTCAGAATCGACTCAAAGGCACTTAACAACAATAAGGAGCCCTGGTGTGGTACTGTATGCGCTGCCTGCAAACTTAGTTTCAATGATAAGGTTGGTGGTTCAAGCTCACCAGCCGTTCTTTGGAAACCCTATACAGACAGGATCGCTATGCGTCGGAACTGACTCAATGGCACTTAACAAGCTGCTCAAGGTGAGATGATAGCATTTAAACATTTTTCAGAAAAGCTGGAATTCCTTAAACAAATAATTTTGCAGGACCTGCAGTTAATCTCTTACTTCCCTCAAAGATTGCACTGTTTGTATATAAGCTACTGAAAAAGTTTAGCTTAACAGTGTTGATTCAATGCCACCTGCCTGTTAAGTTTGGTAAATACAGAGTGGAGTATTATACAACCTTGAAGAATGAATCTGCTGAACATCTCATAAAATGGATGAACCTAGAGGGCATTTTGCTGACTGAAATTAGCCAATTACAAAAGGATAAATATTATATGAAACCATTATTGTTAAAGCTTAAGAAAAGGTTTCTATACTAAACCATAAAAAGGGGGAAAGCAGTATTTCTCAAACTGAAGGAACTGAAAAAATATTCAAGACTAAAGGTGCAATATTGAAGGAGTCTATGGGCAAAATGCTGAACAATACAGGAAGCATTAAAAAAAATGATATAGTTACTTTAGCAAAAAGAGTTAAATATTCAAACATTTCAGGAAGAACCAATGCTGTTGAATGAAGAGGTCCAAGATGCACTGAAGGTACTGGATTGAAAATAAATACTAAATCAAGATTTGAGGCATTAATGGAAATAACAATTAAGATATTTCAACAAATGGATGTGATGCTGGAAATACTCACCAGTCTACACCAAGAAATTTGTAAGAAGACCCATATCTATGTCCATTACTTAAAAAGGTTATCAAAGAGAAATTATCAAACAAGATTATTATCAGACAAGTAAAATTTTGCTGAAGATAATTTTTAAGTGGTAGAGGACATCAGACAAGGGGATATCTTTGCTGTTATCAGATGGATTTTGACTTAAATCATAGATCACCAGACAGATGTTTACCTGTGTTTTATTGACTATGCAAGGTTTTAAGATTATGTGAATCATACATAGTATATTATGAATAACATTGTGAATGAAAATTCCAGAATGCTTACATAGAACCTGTACATAGACCAAGAGGCAGTTATTCAAAAAGAACAAGGGATGCTGTAGGCTTTAAAATCAGGAAAGGTATGCATCAGGGTTGTTTCCTTCCACCATATTTATTCGTGTAGCTTTCCAGATTTCCTATGAAATAAAGTATATGATTTTTTAAATTTATTAGTCTGCTCTGTAAACCCTCACTCAATTCACAATAAGTTTTTTTTAATTCTCACATGGAAGATACAAAGAGGAATGAAAGAGTTAAAATGAACAGAGAGGTAAATACTGTTAACTGATGTCATATGGAGGGAGGGGACTATAACCAATGTAATAAAGTTTATGATTTGGTGAATATAAAAACAATGATTTGTTCTGTACACGTTCACTGAATTTACAATCAAGTTTTAAAAAATAAAAAATCCTCACATCTAATCAATAAGTGACATCATGATAAACAATAAAAATGATTTTTTTTTTTTTAACTTGGATCCACAATCAACACCCATAGAAGCAGCAGTAAAGAAATTAGACAACATATTGGATTAGGTGTATCGGCAGCAAAAGACCTCCTCTTTTAAGTGTTAAGAAGCAAATATGTCAAGAGTATGTCTGATTCAATGTATTCAAAAGTTGGACAGTGAATAAGGAATATCAAAAATATGCTGCTTTTAAATTACGATGTTGGTGAATACTGAATGCCAGAAATAACAAATGTGGTCTTGAAAAGTATAGTCAGAATATTCCTTAGAAGCTATGATGGTAAAACCTTGTTTTACATATACTTCGGACATATTATCTGGAAGGACCAGTCCCTAGAGAAGGACACCATGTTTGGTCAACTAGAGGGTCAGCAGGAAAAAGGAAGACCCAGCAAGATTGGACTGACACAGTGCCTGCACCACTGGGTTCAAACCTAACAACTGAGAGGATGGCCCAGGGCTAGGCAATGTTTCCTTCTGTTGTACACAGTCCCTGTAAGTCAGCAACAACTTAATCGCACCCAACAATGGCAGCAGCCACTGGCTACTGAGCACTTGATATGTGACCAATGTGACTATGAAGCTGAATTTTTAATTTAAACTTTAAATTGTCACACATGGCTAGTGGCTGCCATCTAACATAGCACAACTCTACATAAACTAGCCAGAAGTAGTTCATAAACAAAAATGGTGCAAACTATATATAGGGTGAACCACCTTCACAGCTTTGCTGAAACGAGCCAACCACAACCCTCTGCTCTCTTCCTGTCATCAAAAGACTTAAAATACAAAAAGTCAAGATAAAAATGTCTAAATCAGACTCTAATATTTATAGGTTATTTAATATATAATAAAGGTAGCATCAAAAAATCAACAGAGAGAAAACTGCAGGCCACAAATGGTGCCCAAAATTGGTTAACTGTTTAGTGGGGGTTGGGGGCAATGTGTTGGCCTCAGCAAAACAGCTTTCAAGTATTTTACAAGTAATAAAATTCACTAAAAAAAATATTATAGATGTCACAAACTATTATTAAAAAAATACCTGTGGTAAATTACTTACAACAAGTCAAGAGACGAAAGATAATATTTTTTTAAATATATGAAGAATTCTTTCTTATAAATTAGGAAAACCAGCTCAAAAATTGGTTAGAGAAAATGAACAAAGACAGAAAAAACATGAAAAAAAAAAAAAAAGCATAACTTTACTAATAGCAAAGCAGTACATATTAAAACAGTGCTATGTCACTTTTTATCTACTAAAATGGTTAAAAAAAAAAACCAACCAAACTCCCAGTGCAGGTTAAAGATGTTGGCAAGCTCATGCAATGCTTAATAGAACTAAATTACACGTATCAAAATTCTTTTAAATAGTTACATTCTTTTACCCCCAGAATTCTATGGAAATAAACAGGGATGTAAACAAAGACTTAACAAAAATCTTCAACAACAGTGTTTATAAAAAGATAAAATTAGAATGACAAGGTCCAACCATAGGGAATTAGTAAAATAAATAATGGCTCTCTTATACAATGGAGTGTTGGTAATCCATTAAATATTTTTAAAGCTATTTAATGACAAAAAAATACAAGTATGCATCACTTAATGTCCACTGTACATTCTATGAAATAAGATGTGATTTGGGCATTGTGCTTAACACATGCTTGGAGCATGAGGCTTCCAGGCGCACTGGCCCAGGGAATGGTGTGAGGCACTCCATCCATGTAGTTCCTCAGATAACGCTTCAGGTTCCGTCAGGTCCTGCCTGGCTGTCACACCTCTGGTAAGCCAGGCAAAAGGAAGTTTAGCTCACCCGTGAGAATCTGCTTAGGGAGAGTACCGAGTAGGCAAAGAAGGCAGAAGGTGATTAAAACATGCTTGGGGCACCTAGGGTACATATCTTTCCATATGTGCCTCACCTGGAAAAATGTGGGGACTAGATCTGCTGAGTCACAGGAACAATGAGGATCAGAGTTGGGGGTCTGGACCTAGCACGTCACTGCTGCAGACTAGGTAGTCTCTAGGCTGCACAGCAGCAGCTAGACAGATGACGACCTGGCCAACCCTGGCGCTCCCCAGCCCATGGACATATGTGCAATCAGACATTGTGCAGAGGTTAAGACTTAATAATATAAAACTGCACTGAATGCTTCTTAGTGACATAGGATTAAGTTAAAGGATATAAAAATCTAGCAACTGCCTCCCCTGCTCCCCAGAATGTCTTTTCCTTCAAGCCTTTTCCTTATGCATCACACTTCTGAAACCCTTCTGTGCTACTCTAATCTACTCCACACCTCTGCCCTTCTTGGCAACAAGGAAAAAACCCCCCGCTGACTGGCTTCAGAGATATGACAATTTTAGAATGTCATAACCTTCTTAAGGGGCAACTTTTTACTCAATACCCAGCTCTCCCAATCTACTGTTTAAACCAGTTCGGTCCTCCAACCCAAAAGTTGTCCCTTCTTTCCTGACATCAAAGGCACTCAAGTATTTCTTGAATGAATTACTAAGTATAAATTTAAGTT